AATGCAGAGGTGGGCAGACCACGTCGCGGCACAACACTGGGTCGGCGTTGTTGTCCATGCCGACACCACCTCGGCGTTTCGCCGAGCCCTGCGCTGTGGCAGCCCCCAGTCAAGAGCCGCCTAGAGGGCGGCGCGAAGCGGATGTCAGGATCGCCCAACGGGATGGCATTTCACGAGCATCGCATCAATAGGTCGAGCGCAAAAAGGAGACCACGCCTCAGTCTCTTCAAAGGATACGCAACAAGAGAACCCCTAATTAACCCTTTGAGAGCTGACCTAAGCGAAGAGACCCAAAACATACTGGATAGGGGGTCTTCTAGCAGAAGTCACAGACCAGACCACTCCAACATTTGATCCCCAGTGCAAGAACGGGGACCTACATCAGGCTATGTCTTCATGGTGTTGTTCAGAATCGGCGGTTCAAAGGAACACGCGCGTCCTCCAGCCACCAGCGTTTTCGGGGGGGGGGGGCGCAAAGCATGGCTGGCTGCATGTGCGCGGCCCAGGGGGGCCCCGGGACGCATTGAAAGAAGAAGAAGAAGAAGAAAAAGAAGAAGAAGAAGCAAAAGAAGAAGAAGAAGAGGCGCCATGAAATCTAGGGAGATATCATGGCCCCCGCCATAATATCCATCCCCCCCTAGTCATCACCCCACTCTTGGCCGCACCCGCGGCTTCCTGGCACAGCGCCAGCGCCGGGAAGCGCGGAAACGCACGCGGCGGGGCTCGCCTCCCACACGTGCGAAGGCCTCGCGCCGTGTGCACGCGTCGCGAGGCCCCGCGGGGTGCCCGGCCGCACGGGGGGGGGGGGGGGGGGCGAGATCTGGAAAGACACGAGACCACAGGCGGCAGACTCCATGGGAAGGCTGGCCGTGACCTCACGCACGCCACGAAAATCAAAATCTTACACAGTCGGACCTGGGCCAAAAGAACATCCCTCAAGAAACGGAGACCCTCCGCCGGCCAAACCGAACAGTACATCCAAGGGCTACCCTCCTCCCCAGGATGCACCAGAACATCCAGCAAGCACGAAAAAGACAAGGTGCCCTCCCCGAACAAACCTCGATCTTATACCTCGGTCTGACTGTACACACGCGCTGGCGAATCTTGCCTCCCCCCCCATACTGCGAGAGCGCTCGAAACCTACGTCCCTGGGAGGTGGTGGGCGCGCAGACAGGGGGAAAGCTCGGGGCCTCATGGGGGCCCCACTCCTGCGGGCCTCCCGCCGCTCAGGGGACGCAGGTGCCGGGCCCTCAGGCACGAAGCGGGGCCAAAACCGAGGTCCCTGGGCGGCGGAGGTCCTTTGGTGGCCAGCTTCCAGGCGTCACCGCTACGGGAGGGGAGGGGCGGGCGGGGGTGGCACGAGTGACCCCCGGAGGCAACGCGTGTAATGATACGAGTAGGGTGCGAGCTAGGAATAACAATAACAGCAGCAGGGGCAATATGAGTAGCCGTACGAACACTAACAAACATAACAGTACTCAAGATAATGACACTGGTAATGATAATGATGATGGTGCTACTCATTATACGGCGATGCCAGAGACGATTGATACTCGGCATGGTGGATAATACAGTTCGGCCTCGCTGCCCCACACCGCCAACCAAAAGTGTCTTGGCCGGAGATCACCAACACTGGGGACCAACGGAGGTGTATGTAATGATATCCGCGGCACAGGGTTGTTAGTTCCCACAGGCTTTGCTACTTGATGAGCGACACCTGGCAACGCGCCAGAAGAGGTCCAGCCTGAGGCCGCATTCACCCGTAGATGCTGCGGAAGGAAGAGAAGGGGAGTGGAAGAGGGGTGAGTGAAGAGTGTGAAGGAGAGCACTGGAACCGTCACCGAGGCCTCGCAGATAGCCCATACTCCAGAGAAGGAGAACGAGAAGAGAAGGAGGAGGGGGGAAACGAGCCGAGGAGATTCGGAAGGAGGGAAAGGGAGGAGGACGAAATATTGGAATGAAATGGGCGTCAATGACAAAGTCGTATGACGGAGGGAGAAGGAACAGAGAAGGAGGGAGAAGGAGGAGGAGGAAGAAGGGAAGGAGGAGGAGGAGGAGGAGGAAAAGGAGAGGATGAAGACGATAGGAGAGGGCCTTCTCCCTTGGTTCACCGACGTCCCACAAGGAACACAAACACCAGAAGAGGAGTGCGAGGGGAGGAGGAGGAAGCGGAGGAAAGAGGCGAGAGGAGGAGGAGGAGGAAGTAGTCGTCCAGCGCAGGAGGAGCGGGAGCGGGAAGATTTAACCGACGTCCCGTGTTTGCTTGAAGGACTGATACAATTGCCCAGACAAGAACGATATGAGCCACATTACGTGGACTTCAATGTGTTTGGAGTTAATTTCAAGTCGTCGCAGTGCCTTTAAATGCACTCAAATGGTACTGAAATACTACAAGCGTGTCTAGATCACATAAGGGCACGACGACCACGATATCCCCAATCACGCAATAGAGCCACACATTTGTCAGAAACCAAATTAGGCAGCGTCAAATGCTTATGGGACTTATCCAACTTATGTTTTACTTATCTAACTTGTTTATTTCCTCAATCTCCCTTGTAGAACATCGTCGTCGTCGTGTTCGCGTGACCTTCCCCCTCCTCCTGTGCATTCTTCCTCGTTCCTTCGCCCGCCGCCTCCTCCTCCCCCCCCCCTTCTCCTCCCCCCATCGCCCTTTTTTTCCCCCTTTCCAGATTGCGCCCCGCCCCCGCTCCCCCTTCTGAGGCGCCCAGGAGACAGCGGGGCATCCGCTCAGACCAGCGCCCGCCACGCGAGGGAGGAGGAGGAGGAGGAGGATGACGACGAGGAGGAGGAGGAGGAGAAGGAGGAACGAGGCACGATGGGGATGTTTGGTGCATGATGGCTGTATTTTTTTGCCACGCAGCGGAAGGGCCGCTAGCACCACTAGAACAACACAACGTACTCATCGAGGACACTCTGGTGCCAAGCGTGGGCCTCACGGGCATCTCTTACCAACGCTGCGCATACATTGCGAGTCAAACGGAACGTATTACTCGAGGGGGTCGCTGGGCCAATCGGCACCATCTCTTGCAACAGTAAGATCAACTCACCCCCGTCGAGGGCACACGCTGCAACTTTCCCACACCGCTCCCCCACCAGGGCAATATCACCAACATGGAACTCCACACCCTCCATGCAGACGGCCCTGGACACCTGCGCATTTGGATACTCGTGGATTGAACCAACACGGCCGAGCAAACCATCCTTAAAATGAGCACCGCCTTCGCACAATTGATTGTATTGCCGCGTGAAAAGAGATGCGGACACAGATCGTTCCCATACTTCCGTGTTCTTGATACTCTCTGCCACCTTCTTAACTTGGAGGTTAAGCCTTTCCACCACGAACATATCCACCACGCACCCGTCCCTGAGAAATTGGGAAGGGACGTGAAAGGACGCGTGGTGTTTGGGAATAACTGTTGCTTCGCCGTACGCGAGCTGGTGCTTGACACTGTGCCCCTTAAGGGCAGCAGGCAATTCCCTGGCCGCTCTCTCGAACACCTCCCCCGAAGACCGCTTGCACACTAAACATAAATCAAGGAGGCGGCACGCTGCCACGAACGATCCCCGTTCCCTTTTTAGCCGAGGGTCGTGCACTAAGTTCGTTTCATGTAGTGGCGCATGATGGCGTAAAGGCTAGGATATTCTGAGGCCTTGCAGATTACCTTTTGTTTTTCCTCGTTGTGATCGGAGAATGCGTGGTGTAATCCCGTCAGCCCGTGGGGCTCGAGTGGCCTCGAGGGTGGATCTGGCGAGCGCCCGCCCCCCTCCCCCCCCCCCCCTCTCCCCCCTCCAAGGAGGAGCGCGGAGGCAACGCGAGGCCCAGGGCAAGCTCTGGAGGGGCCCGAGAGGCCATGGGTCCGTCAAATTGGGGGAGTGGGAAGGGGGAGAGCAAGGGGGAGAGCAGTAATCTCGTCGCCCTGCGATGGCACAGGAAAGGCTCAAGACGGCCCCAACAGAGGCCCCGAGGGGGAGGGGGGGGGGGCAGAGTCTCACACCGCCAAAGGGGAATCAGCGGGCTAGGGTCTCGCAGCTTTGTTTCCGTTGGGCAGAAAAAAATTATCCTGGCGAAGGACCCAACCATATGCAATTGTGAATACTGCAAGTGTGAATATCTTCTCGGTGGAGCCCCCTACGGGGCCACGAAACGTACGAGGGGTGTGCCGAAATGGGTGTGCGGGGCGCATGCGGGCACACCCACTGGGGCCTTCGGTGGAGCTCTTTATGGGGCCAAGAAACGTGTGAGGGGCGTGCCGAAATGAGTGTGCGGGACGCATGCGGGCACACCCACTGGGACCTTCGGCGGAGCTCCCTATGGGGCCACGGAGCGCGTGAGGGGCGTGCCGAAATGGGTGTGGCTGACGCATGCGGGCGCGGGCACTGGGGCCTTCGGCGGAGCTACCTATGGGGCCACGAAACGTGCGAGGGGTGTGCCGAAATGGGTGTGGCTGACGCATGCGGGCGCGGGCACTGGGGCAATCGGTGGAGCTCCTTATGGAGCCGCGAAACGTGTGAGGGGTGTGCCGAAATGGGTGTGGGTGACGCATGCGGGCGCGGGCGCTGGGGCCTTCGGTGGAGCTCCCTATGTAACCACGAAGCGTGTGAGGGGTGTGCCGAAATGGGTGTGGATGACGCATGCGGGCGCTGGCACTGGCGCCTTCGGTGGAGCTCCCTATGGGGCCACGAAACGTGTGAGAGGTGTGCAGAAATGTGTGTGGGTGACGCATGTGGGCGCGGGCACTGGGGCCTTCGGTGGAGCTCCTTATGGAGCCACGAAACGTGTGAGGGGTGTGCCGAAATGGGTGTGGGTGACGCATGCGGGCGCGGGCACTGGGGCCTTCGGTGGAGCTCCCTATGGAGCCACGAAACGTGTGAGGGGTGTGCCGAAATGGGTGTGGGTGACGCATGCGGGCGCGGGCATTGGGGCCTTCGGCGGAGCTTCTACTATGGGGCCACGAAACGTGTGAGGGGTGTGCCGAATTGTGTGTGGGTGACGCATGCGGGCGGCAGGCACTGGGGCCTTCGGCGGAGCTCCTATGGGGCCACGAAACGTGTGAGGGGTGTGCCGAAATGGGTGTGGGTGACGCATGCGGGCGCGGGCACTGGGGCCTTCGGTGGAGCTCCCTATGGAGCCACGAAACGTGTGAGGGGTGTGCCGAAATGGGTGTGGGTGACGCATGCGGGCGCGGGCACTGGGGCCTTCGGCGGAGCTCCCTATGGAGCCACGAAACGTGTGAGGGGTGTGCCGAAATTGGTGTGGGTGACGCATGCGGCGCGGGCACTGGGGCCTTCGGCGGAGCTCCCTATGGAGCCACGAAACGTGTGAGGGGTGTGCCGAAATGGGTGTGGGTGACGCATGCGGGCGCGGGCACTGGGGCCTTCGGTGGAGCTCCCTATGGAGCCACGAAACGTGTGAGGGGTGTGCCGAAATGGGTGTGGGTGACGCATGCGGGCGCGGGCACTGGGGCCTTCGGTGGAGCTCCCTATGGAGCCACGAAACGTGTGAGGGGTGTGCCGAAATGGGTGTGGGTGACGCATGCGGGCGCGGGCACTGGGGCCTTCGGTGGAGCTCCCTATGGAGCCACGAAACGTATGAGGGGTGTGCCGAATTGGGCGTGGGCGACGCATGCGGGCGCGGGTACTCGGGCCTTCGGCGGAGCTCTTATGGGGCTACGAAGCGCTGCATTGGGTGGGTGAAACGCAGGGAAGAGGGGGAGGAGGGGGGGGGAGGGAGGAGGAGGAGAGGAGGCGGAGGAGGAGAGGAGGAGACGCGGGCCACCGTCTCTTCAAAACGAGGACCCAACACCACAGGATGGTTGGGAAAAACCTAGAGCGAGCCTGATAACGGCCCAAAGCGGGCGCGAATGGACCCCGCGCCCTGCACGGTCGTTTCGCCCTCTCGCCCTTCCACTTCCGATGGGTCCCTGCGAATCGTTAAATGGGCTGGCTGGGAGTCGCGAAGCGTCAACGATTCCGAATGTTTCACGCCGCGCCTCTTCGGAAATGCCCAATCTGCCCTCATAATGTCTCTCCAGAACGAAAAACGCAAACCAATGCTCTCACACGACGTCGAAAACAATGAGCACTCCTTAGAGAATGTCCCGTGCGCGAGAAGATTGTGGACCCAATCGGTACGAATCGCCGAAAACAAATCAACATTTTGACACAGAAGGGCGTCTGCCATCAACCCGTGGGGGTTTGGGTTGAACCCAAGACCCTGCACCATTTCTTTGAAGAATGCTTGCGTGATTTCGTTGCGGTCCCTCTGGCCCTTCAAGCGGAGCAAAACCTCCATGAGCTCTATGACCTTGGCATTGTCTAGAGGGCGAAACTCACTTGCTTCTGCACAACAAATGCTCACGTTACCAGCAAGAAGGGGGACGTGTTTTTTCCAAACGTTTTCACAGAATATACATGGTTTGTGTGATGACGTCCCCCCCCAGTCAAAAGTCATGCGAAGCCCGTCTAAATCTGTTAGAATGATCGACACCTCAGCATGCAAGTGAAACACCTGCCCGTGCAACATGAGCGGGCAGCCCGCTGTCTTAAACGAGAGGGGACCGTCCACAAGCATGTGCAGCAGATCCCTGAACAATCGAGGCCATCCACCAACGACGGACTTGATTACAATTGAGCGGCAAAGAGCGAATGTCATCCACGTCAGCTCGTGGCACAACGCGGTGGGGCCTACTTCCATGAAGTTGAAACTAACGACCATTGTCTTGCGCCTGTTCGAGGGCTTCTTTTTGTCCCCCGTCGTAAACTCATCGAGTCCTATGATTAATTTCCAAGGTGAGTCGGCACAACATGGCGCGGCCCTCGCGGCACGCGCATGCAGCTCTTGAAACTCAGCCGAAGCTGAAACCATTTCTTGCAACAACAACGAGGGCTCAGAGACCTCCCATTTGAATTCGCCACCTTCTTCCAAATCAACGTTGAAAACACGAGCCACGCGATTCAAAATGATTTGGTTTGCTTTTGCTAGCGTGGATTTGCCAACTACCTGGTCGTCCAACTTTGCTAAGATCTTGCTCAACCCATCAACTGTGGCGCACCCCGAATGCAACAACGATTGCGCCTTCAAACGCTTGGCTGCCATCGGGGCTCTCGAAGGGCCTCATCGGTTCGAGCCCCCAGGGCCTCGAGCCAACAGCGGCTACGCACGATCGTGCCATGCATGCATCGTCACCTCGCGACTGCTCGAGCCGTCGCGAGGTGACGATGCGTGCATGCGGCCCAGATGCTTCTTGCGATGGCCATCGTCTTGGATCGTCTTGGGTCGTCTTGGGAGGGAGGAGATGAGGTTCTTTCCAATCGCAGAGAAACTAAACGCCGAGGCACCCCATTGCCACGGCGTTGCGCTTTCAAGCGGCAGGCGCCGCCCGTCTGAAAAGCCAGGGCCCGACAGTTGTGCATCCTCCTGCTTCTCCTCCTTCTCCCCCTCCTCCTCCTTCTCCCCCTCCTCCTCCTCCTCCTCCTCTTCCTCCTCCTCCTCCTCTTCCTCCTCCTCCGAGGTGTCATCATTCTACTCCTCCTCCCCCCCTCCTCCTCCTCCTCCTCCTCGTCCTCCTCCTCCTCCTTCTCCTCCTTGTCCTCATCCTAGCCCGCCACCTTCTTTCACCGCGCCGCCCTCGGCGGCTGGCCTAGAGCCCAGCTCGAGCTGGGATGGCGCGTTCAGAACGTGCCCGCCTGGCGGATCAACGTGCGCACCGCCCCCAGCTTGCGCTTCACGTCGGCCAGGTAGCTCTTGATCGCCTTGACGTCGGGGCAGTGGCGGATGGTGCGATCGCTGTCGCCGCGGATGATCGCCTCGACGTCATTGTAGATGTCCTGGACCTTGATGTTGTCCTCCTCGACGGTGGTGCGAACGTTCGGCGGCATCCCAGCGAAGTTGGGGTTGCCGACGATGGTTGCCAAAGAGTCGCGCATCTCCTGGACCTTGCCCCTCACAGACTCAGCACCTTTCAGGGCCTTCGCGGCTTGCTTCTTGGCGGCGGCCTCCAGGAGTTTGGCCTGCTTCTCGCGCTCCTTCTCCTTCTTTGCCTTTCTTGAGTCCTTCTCTTTTTTGCTCTTCTTGTCCGTGCGGCTCTTCCTCTTCTTCTTGTGGCGCCTGCTATCGGAGGAACTGCTGTCGGAGGAACTCTCCGACTTGTCGGATTCGGCGCCAGCAACTTTAGCCCGCTTGCCGCCTCTCTCCGCCACGTCCTCGCGGCGCTTGCCCTTCTTTCCTGCCGTGCCCGCCGAGTAGATCGGGACGCGGTAAGTGTTCGTGAACATGCGGTCGGGGCGGATGTCCCACGGATGAGACATGTCCTTGATGGTATCCGTGTCGAACCCGCGGGTCGCCCACGCGCTCAGCGGCAAGAACTCACCGCCTTCCGCATACCACTCGGTGTGCTCTTCGAACCCCTTCATGTACTCGCGGAAGTGGGCGACGACGTCCTTGGCGGTGGTGATGTCCCGCACGCCGTTGTAAAACAGCTTCTTGGCCTCGTCGTCGAGGGCGGAGAATTCTGCTGTCGGCCACTCCCCCAGCTCCCTGCTGAGCTGTGTGATCTTGCACGCGCAGCGCGGGCATCTGAAATTGCCCCGCCCCTTGCTGCGCGGCCTGACCTTGTCGTCCAACTGGACCTCGCAGCCGCAGTCCGAGCAGTGCATGCGGAGGTCGTCAATGAACGTCGGCCGACTCGTGGCCACGGGCGCCTTGGGGCGCCCCGCGCGCGAATGGCAAGGCAAAGTGACGAGGGGCGCCTCTCTTTGTCACCGCGCCTCTTCTCGGACCTCAGCTCTCTCGAAAGAGTGGGGTCCGTGAAGAGGCGCGGCGACAAAGAGAGGCGATGCCATGCCATTTGCGAGCAAGGCGCGGGGCCATCGAAGGCTTCGGCTTCGCTGGGAACATGCCGTACTTCGGCGTGCGCCCGAGGTTTGAAGGCGCTGGCGTCGAAGGCGCTGGCGCCGAAGGCGCTGGCGGCGGCGCAGGGGCAGGGGCGTCGCCGAAGACTGCTGGCGGAGCCCCTGGCAGGGCGATGGTTGCAGGCGTCGGCGGGGTCGCAGGCGTCGGGGGCGGGGCGGCAGCGTCGTCGGCGGGGCCCGCGGCGTCGACATCGGGCGACGGCAAGGAAGCGAAGAACTCGCTCATGGTCCTGGCCCGACGGAGCGGCGGGCGCGACGGCCGCGGGGCCACGGGTTGCGGCGGCGGCTGCACCTCGGGACCGTCGCTGCCGACCTCCACGACCTCCGTTGGCGGAGCGCCGCTCGCCTTGCAGCAGGCGGAGGGGGAGGGCCATCTCTCTCTCCCTCTCTCTCTCCCTCTCTCTCTCTCTCTCTCTCTCTCTCTCTCTCTCTCTCTCTCTCTCTATCTCTCTCTCTGCGCTCTCTCTCACTCTGCATCTCTCTCTTCTCTCTCTCTCTCTCCTCTCTCTCTCTCGACTCTCTCTCTCTCTCTCTCTCTCTCTCTCTCTCTCTCCCTCTCTCTCTCTCGTCTCTCTCTCATCTCTCCTCTCTACTCTCTCTCCCTCTCTCGTCTCTCTCTCTCTCTCTCTCTCTCTCTCTCTCTCTCTCTCTCTCTCTCTCTCTTAGCGAACCCTTGGCCGTCAAAGGGGGGCGACCGTGCAGACCCCCCCCCCTAAAAAAAAATAACACTGGGCGCCCTGTGTGCTTCAGTTGCGCTCCTCCTTTCCCCTTCTCCCTCCCTGACGTCCTCCTCCTCCTCCTCCTCCTCCTCCCTCCTCCTCCTCGATCTTCATTCTCCTCCTCCTCCTCCTCCTCCCCCCCCCTCCTCCTCCTCCTTCTCCTCCTCCTCTGCCTCACCCTCCTCCTCGCCAAGCGCGACGTCGCCTGGCGCGCCATCATCTCATCCTCCTGCCGTTGGAGGTCCTGCGGGCTCATCCTGCAAGTCGGGCACTGCAGACATGACAGGGGCGTGCTGCGCACCCTCACAACCTCTTCGATGCAGACCGTGTGGAACCTGTGAAGGCACTGC